CACTCCTTTACCTCACTAAGCCGGTAATAAAACTGGTAAATAGGTAAGGCTGGGCACATGAGGCTAGCAGTAACCCCATCCCGTAAAAGTAAACAAGCACCACTGTTACCGAAACTTCCCCTTCACTAATGGGAACGTAAAGGAATAAAATTTTAGAAGTAATAATACTATAATGCGATTGTCAATCAATCAATCAATCATATTCTCTTGATCAGCCTTTTGCTTGTGTGTATTGTGACTACAAAATGTCAAACAAACGCAACAGACTGTTTCTTCCATATAGTATATATATATATATATATATATATATATATATAGAGAGAGAGAGAGAGAGAGAGAGAGAGAGAGAGAAATGCAGTTAGAAATCTCTCACGTTTTATAATCCGTTGAAATTAAGAAAACACAATTCGAGACTGTAAATAGACATGATTATTATATTATTATTATTATTATCCGTGTATAGACATGTTTAAGTATATTGTGTTATGGAACACAGAGACAGAGCTTACACCGACTCAGGTGACTGCAACGTGTTATACTACGCTAGCAACCAAAACAACTGTCCATGAGCTGTGTTAAATTGTGTCATTTTTTTTTGAACGAAGAGAGACCGAACATATTTCCAGGATAATACGAGCTCATTTTATCTTGTGAATCCTCTTCAACTGCATATACATATATATCCTATACAAAATCAAACTGTAAGTTTATGGCAAAGTTCAATAATAGCGTCCCAAGGGATGCGAACGCACGAGTCATCTTGAGCCGACCGATCATAAAAATAAGTGACTTGCAAAAATAATGACGTATATTTACAAGAAAGTGTATGAAAACGCACTAAACAGGTTATCTTTCTCTGACATGACTTAAAAATACGTCCCAGTTATTATGAGGGGAGTATCAGTTGCTAAGTTAGACTAGTGATATTAGATAGTTGGAGGCAATCGAGCCACAGGAAGCCTTGGACCTAGGTTTCGTCCTAGTTGGCACTCACCAGTCAGCAAGGCGTATCTGCAACCGCCTTGAAGTAAGGAACTCATGTCCCTTCTGAGATTCGAACCCGCGTCACCCAGTGCCGCCTGCAGTCAGAGACGTTACCACTGAGCTATTCGGGATCGCGATTGACCTCCTGTAGGACTGTAGTAGGTATTTTGATAGATAGAATTCAGTCTGCACCAAACAAAGGACTAGACACGTCACACTAGTCGCTAGTGTCCAATCAAAAGTTGGACTAGTTTCTGTACATGTATTCACCGGGGTGACTGGAGATGAGCTGTCTTTGTGAATCGTTTATCTCTCTTATCCAGTTGTGCAGTCTTCCCCAAAAGCCGTCGGTTGAATTATTATGGTTTCCAGTAAGAGGATCGACGACTACTTACCAGGAAAATGTGGATAATAAAACAAATTAAAATAAATGACATCAACTCTAAATCTATCCCTAGGCGTAAACCTAACCTTAATCCTGACCCTAATCTTAACCCTAACGAGCTATTAACACATTGTCCAAACAGTACTTAAAAACGTGATCTGGGTGAAATTCACCCCTTAGTTGGTGATTGGCGTTGATATATTTCAGCTATGATAATGACAGGTGCCGTTAACCAACGACTAGCATGCGTTCAAGGTCATTGGAGCGTTCACATCCCTTGGAACGCTATTATTGAACTTCGCCAAATTTATCTTTATCATAAGTTTACTTTACTACTATTCACTCCGCCCCCCCCCCCCCCACCGCGTCACCATCTTAAAGTCGTCTTCATTATAATCTGTATTAATTAAATTCACTCTGTTGTTCTTCAGTCGTCTAATTTGTCTCCTCTAGTCTGTTCTTTTGTGTTTTCAAGCGAAATCTGAACTCTACCACACCACTCCTTCTTTGTTTAATTATACTATAATTAGCTGTTGTCTTTTAACACTGAATAATTCTTCGCTAATTAATATCCTTTTGTGGTATTATGCTCCTTACAACTTCTATTTATATTACTTTGAAGTCAATATGCAAAAAAAGTATGTTCAAAAATTACTTTTTAACTTATAATTTAATTTTGTATAGGATGATGTACACAGTTGAAGAGAATCCATGGAGCGAAACGAGCTCGTACTATCTATCTATCTAGCTATCCTGTAAATATGTGCATTTTTTCTTTGTTCAAAGTAAATTAAAGGGAACCAGTTGAATATATCAAACCTTGATGAGATACTACAAAGTTGTCCAAACCTCCTTCTCCTCCGCCTCAGTAGTATCAGGTGAAATGGTATTCGAACTTGTAGAGACACATTTACTGGGAATTTGAATATCTCTAAACCAATCAACTATAACTTGTAAGGAATGTGTTACGAAAAACAAAAGGAAGGTAGTCAAATTTGAGGAGTGCCAGCTATGAACCTTAGCGCAGTCTTTCTGAGTCGATATTTATGTAATAAAAAAGAAGTCGATAAATTGAAAATCATATTTAACTCAGTAAAATTCACATTCTGCTTAAAATACACACACACGACACAACTAGAATCGGTACATATGACTAATAAAAATCAATATATACTCTGATCAACTAACTCAATTAAAAACGCTTATAACAAACAGTAATCAGTGTGTAAATTACATTTTATTTAAGTATTTGATTGTATATATTTATTACTTATTATTATTATGTCCTTAGAAGAAATTAGATAACTTAACTCATCTGGTTTTATCGTGTTTTACTATACTATACTAGAGTAAACTAAGAATCGTGACAACACATAGAACCTTACACAGAAATGATATGACTGATTGATTGGCTTTAGCACTCTCGACTTTTAGCCAATGTGTGTCCCAAGTTCGAGTCTGTAGAATTCAAGTGGTGCAATATCACCAACCCTTACACAATAAATATGGCCTCTTAGTCCCAATCTGTCTTCGGGTAACAACTGAGTTGAACACAAATAGTATACTGCTTTGTATGCTGTTCTACTCGCTAGTGAGAAATGCGAAAGATGATAATAGTGGTGGGACAAATGTAGAAAGTGTATTAAGGGAGAAGAACTATAATGAATGTAGGGTAGTGTTCAGGTGTCTCGGATCTGCGAAGGTAGGCGTCAGTCACTGTAATAGATTTGTCTGTAGTCACACTCTGTCTTGTAAAAAACACCACACCTAGGATATTCTAATTATTTATCAGCATTTTATAATCTTATTTCCACTTACTCTGAATTACATATTAGGATAGACATGTGCCCCTTTGGATTAAGGATGATTTTCGAGTCCCGTCTCATTTAATCCAGCCTGGACAACTGACGAGATAGTATCATCAACCCTTCTCACATAATAATAGTAATAATAAGTACGGCTCATAACCTGGTACATGAGAGATCTATTCCAAGTAATTGAAATTTGGAAATCTTTTCAACTGGTTGTTTACTACCATTACACACAACACCCTAGCAACTGACTCTAGAATGTGAACAGTGTCGACAATAATGAAACTGTAACACTAGTGTTGATTTGCTTTGCTGTTTTTTTATCAAAGACAATAAACTCAATGAAATATTAAAATAGTATAAAAATCTATAATATTCAACCTAGTAGTGACAAAAAAGGCGTATCCTGCATGTATGAATACGTGTGTGCGTGCGTGCAGGCTTTATTGATTCGGTAGATTATTTGTTCGTTATGCAGTGTATAACACTAGTGTACACACCCCAAATAGTGATGTTCAAATATGACAGCTTAAAATATTTCCAACGTTGTTTTTTAAAATTTATTTCACAGTCCTTAAATATTACAGAATACTATTGTCATACAGTAGTTTATGGTTGTATACAACAAATGAACGGCAGTGTTTCCTTGAAGACTGGGATAACAATCGAGGATCTACCTGTTGATCCACAGATGATATATATATATATATCGGTTATTTTTAAGTATTACTCTAATTTGCCTACAAGAGTTGTAGTATATCATTCTGCCACTCTGAAATGTAACTGGTGGTCACTTCCTCAGAGATATATGCGTCTGATGTTTAAGAAATTTCAACAGTCACTTAATATTTTATCTCACTCTACGCTTTATAGTATACACTAACTGTCGTCGGTTAGGAATCTACATAAAAATTGCTTCTGCTCTTTATGACATACTTCAATCTAACTATCCGGTGCCTGTATGCTGCTTCCATTTGTAAAAATCTACCGTTCGCTTTATTCACACTGTAGTCAATGTGTCGACAATTGTTAGCCGTTATACAACAATGTCAAATTTTGATTACATCTTTAATGAACACTAGAAGGATCACTGACAATTCACTAGTAACGGATAAACTCGGAGAGGCAGTGTGGACAGGCTTTACGTGTAGTTTGTAAAGGTGGTTGGAAAGCCTTTCATAAAGCAGACATCCCTAGGAAAACTTTAATCTTACAATAAGTACCTTTCTCTTCTTCACTGAAATGCAAAAAACGACTCTACGTAACGTTTTGAGATGCCAGGCTGTGCGTCTTCTTGTGGCTTTCCACAACATTTTACTTCCATCTTCTAAAATTCGTTCTCCACGTTTGTGCATGGTACCTTTAAGATCTCTTAGAAGTTGTCATTAATTCCCCTAGATACATTTAAAACAATGATACTATGCAGGTCGAATATTACTGGGTTTATGATCATACATCCTAAACAAGGCAAGTTAGTTCTTGGTTCGCTTATATCAGTCCCCTCGCAACCTACCACACTTCATCGTACTGTACATAACACCGAGTTCTGAATTTACACTTCATCGCTATTGTCGCATTTCTCCGTTTTATCATGTCACCTTACTGGTGTACCTACCTATATTGCTACTGCTTCATTGTCAAGCTACAGTTTATCAGCTGTGTGAAATAATTCCTTTTAAATCTCAACTCTAACCTTAGATAATGTCACAAATCCGGTAGTCAGATTAATGAATAAATGATACCAACATACTAGCATTTTTACGAGTATAACAGTGTTTCTGTTCCAAATTCTTGACATAAAATATCTTTTTCTCTTACAGGTCAACCAAACAAGTTGTACCATTTACCATCAGTGTACCGCCTACTGCATTAATGTACCTTGGCACTGATCTCAAAGACCTAACAATGTACAGTCAGACAATTCATTTTGAAGAAATTCACAATGGTCCTGCACCCAGACATGATATTATTACTATGCACAGACACGGACATGCGTTTGGTGGTCTTCCGTGGCTATTTTGGATCAGCTTGGTTCTACTGATCGCTGTTTTTCATATGTTTTTCTGTAAGATTATATATAATGAACTACGGGGAAGAAATCAGGCATCTGAAAATCAAAACCCTTGGAGACTACCACATTATGCAACCGATTTGCGGTCTCCATCAGCTTATTCTGCAAGAGTGTTTATAAACGAACAGTTGTCACGACGCAGACGGACTGACATGGACACGGTTCCATGATTACAGAGATTTTAAATTTTTTTGACCTGTTTTTGTTTTTCTCCAATACAATACTTTACATTTTTCTAACAAAATTAAAAATTCTCTCTCTTCAGAATTTAACATTTATGTATTTACATGGATTAGTACACATGAAATAAAACTATTATTATTATTATATGAACAAAGTACGCTAATCCACACTGAGAAAAAAACATAGCTCCACAAAGTTAGTTAGTTAGTTATACAACAGAGGTAATGTCTAAGGATTGATAAATTTTTACTTCAAATTGAAATGAGTGAGATTGACATTCGAGCGTTGAGATAGAGATGAACTAAGTAAGTATACACAACACCGGTTGTAGTGTAAAATTGTTTTAAGCATCATCACATTTACAAGACATATGTACTTGAGATTTGTTTTTGAAATAAATTAACTTCATAATTTGCTCAAAACACAACAGTCGCAGAATAGAGTGAGACAGCATAAATAATTTCATGCGAAATATATATATTATATATTATATATAACAACGACTTTGATACTTTAATTAGCTGCATTTACACATCAGTTAGTTTCCAACAACATATTATCCCAAAGTTATCTCTGTACAATCACACAGGAATATTATACAAATATACCTCACAAAAGGATGAAAGAACATTTCACTGCCCCCGACTGGGCATCCGATAAGCAAACAGGTCAGTAAAAGTAGGAGATAACATTGAAAAGTTTATCACAGATACCTGGAGCGTCGGGAAACGGAATAAAAGGACTAACAAAACCACGAATAATGAAAGCAAAATTATGACCAGGTGGTGCATGACAAGATAACAGACTGAAGACATACAATACACAATGGAAAATTGGTAACTATAAGCCACATTTAGCTGCCCATGGGTACGCCGTAAGAAAATGCTTCAGCAAAGTTCTGACCAGTTTGAGCATACCGGGAGTAGGAGCAAACAAAGCAAAATTAAAGCATCATATGTAACAGAAACATATAAACACAAGACCGAATGGATGTTGAAGTAGACTACTAAGCAAAAGATAAGCAGCCAATTTAGGTTAGCTGCCACAGATGAGCCGTGATTTACATTGAAAGAGTTAAGGCTGGGTGCTATATTATTAAGAGAGATCTAGGTTACAAAATGCAGAAAACAAATGCTAACCAGTAAGTCTTGGATTGGAATAGGGGCATCATCTACCTGTCTGAAGTTATAAAAGAGAAATATGACACCCTGTTTGCTACGGACACTCTAACTACTCTTATGGCCACTTGTAGAGTCAGCAGGTGAAGTGCGACCAGAATGATCGGCGCTATGAACATTGTTACGATAAATAGACGATGAATGTGAATTGTGATTTGTAGAAGAGTCGTTTTCAGGTTGAGGACTGGAGCCGTTCATTTGCATCCAAGTATTAGAAACACCATTTGGACAATAGTTTAATCCATATACAAGATTCAAAACCCTTTGGTCAATTTTACCACCACCATGCTCCTTAAGCAAATTAGTAAGAATGTAAAAAGAAATTACCTCTAAGAATCTAAAGAATGTTTCGCCTGTTAGCATTGCATCACTTCCGGCTTGGTGTTGTAAGCCTATACGTGGTACACGCATTAAATCCGCTAGTTCTTGTAATCCACTCTTAGGAAATTTATGTTCGCTCATCATAGACTTTAAATCCACAATTCTTGGAAAGAAAATCAGCAAAAGCTTTTGGAATTCCAGAAAATTGTCAGGCATCCTCATCCAATCTGTGCATATCTTCATCATGTAAGCGAAATCGTACGCACTTAATACGTCTATATTACACGTAAAACAAACCTACCTGTGAAATCCAATCCATGTAATCTTGTCATTAAGTGGGAGACCACTGGTAAGAAAAGCTTCTGCAAAATCGCTAAGTTCAATTCCTGTTCTCTTTAACTTTTCAAAGTCTATTCCAGAAACTTCTAACAACTGAATAGAGTCAGCAGCATGCATTTCATTGTCAAGATTCCATTTAATATTAAACTGGACAGTTGAAACGGAATCTATCGTCTGGCCACTTTCATCGAAAAAACTAAATCCTATTTGGATTGGCTTCAGCATATCGATGTTAACTTTTATATTGTGGTAGGCTTGTTCGAAGCTATTGGCATACTCACCAAATACTTTTGCAACAACACCTGGAAACTCAGTATCTACAGCGACATATCGACTTTCCCGCACAAGTCTCCGGACAAGACGCATGCCTTCGTGAAAGTTGTGGGCCCAAACATCCCAGACACGTACATGAGCACTTTCCTGTGCGATACTGGACGGAATAAGATTATTAAGGTCCGAATGAACATGATGCTGAACGCCATGATGGACGTGATTATGGTGGTTAGTATGTCCATGATTGTGATACGTTGCTTGAGGAACGTAACCGTCTGTTGTTACTGTCATACCAGTTCTGTAGCTATACTTTCCAAAATGAGAATTAAGAGGTGATTCAGCAATAGAGCTTTGAAGTATATGATTTGTGTAGCCGTTTTGTGTTACAGATGGAAGTTCGCGAAAAGGGTGCATTGAGTAACATAAGTGACACATTCAGTAATCTTGCCTAAACATAAATAGGGAAATACTAGCCTTAGTATATTCTAATGTGAAAACACTCAAAAATACAAAGAAAGGGAGTAACACTCACCAATATCGCTCATACGAAACCCCTATCTAGCCTATCCTGAACTTTAACGCTTTCGCTTTCCTCCAAATTGGAACAGTAGTTTGACCAAACAAAGCACATCATGGTGGGTTGATATACCGCATACCGTCAGCTGTGACTTTTGATTTATTATTATTTTCCAGCTCCTGAATAGATAAATCTGAAATATTTAACTTCATTGAGCAATGTTGCGTTACTTCAAACAGTGTAAATGACTGTAAGGCTTCATACTCCCTTAGAAGTGTACAACAGGCATTTAACAGATGCAGTGCTTTTTATAGCATTATGTCCTTAAAAATTTTGTCTATGTTTTCAGCTGAGCACTTGCATTTCTGAGACAAATGAATATCGGCCTGTCTTTTGTCTACTTATTAATGGCAGTGAACTTCGGGCGTTTGGGGGCACTCTCCTTCTTACTGCGGTGCACCTTTTTGGCGCAAAGATAGCAGAAATAGGCACTTCAACACTATACACAAAGAAAAAGTCTTAGATTACATCAGATAATTCTCACCAATGAAAAAGGCATCTAACCTGTGAATGTACTTTCAACCACAAACACGGTGGGACATTAGTTGCAACTGTTCAGACTGTTGTGAATTAGAGGTCGTGAATCTGTTGGCGAAATATTAAGTCAGTTCTAGAAACTGAAGGTAAACTACTATGTTGCCTGTGTACTCTTAGAGATAGGTTAATCTTAATTTATTGTTTACACATTCCCAAAATAGGTTCACTCGACTCGTCTGAACAGTCCCCATTTATTAAATGTTTTACGTCTTAGTGGGATATGCAGCAACACAACTGTACAGTTTTTGTGAGATGTTAAAAACGTAAATACCGTACGTAAATTTTGTTTAAAACGATTCGCTGTAAAATGTACATAACTTTGAAGTGTTTCTTTCTCTTCTCACTGGTCCATACTGCTTACTTGCTTCACCACTAACCATGTTGTATCCTTTGTATTTCGCAGGAACCTCTCATCCGAAAACTATTCTACAAACAGTGCGCAGCTTCTACCAGTAGACATGACTTCAGCATTAAACGTTTCTGTAGATTATACTAATAATTTTTAGCAGCGACCTCCTAGCACAACATGGGAACTTTCACTTCGAGCAGCTAACCAAATTAGCATACAGACTTTCAGCGAACAACCACTTATCTTGGAACCTGGTTTATGCCGTCGTTTCACAAAGGTTTTCACAGTAGCCAACATTCGTCATGTTACACTCGCTGCTGATATTTTAAGTAATTTCAATCTGATAGTAGATGTCAATAAGAAAGAAAGTGATTGACAACTGCATCCAACTTCAAATCCATGGAATCATCTCAGATTAATCCGTTTACAACATTAGCATCGAAAAGACTGATGACTGCACATTTTCTGCAATATTGCAAAGTTCCCATAAAATTCTCAAGCCGTCTTACAATATTGAAAATGTTTCTCATTCTGTCACGCGTCAAATTATCACAACTGGTCAACCCGTCCGAGTACGTCTTCGTCGACTACCACCTGATAAGTTAGCGGTAGCCGAAGCTGAATTTGAACATATAATGCAACTAGGTATCATCCGACCTTCCAATAGTCCACGGTCCTCACCTTTACACATGGTACCAAAGGCTGACTATGACTGGCAACCATGTGGGGATTACCGACATTTGAATACTGCCACTGTCCCAGATCGTTTTTCCATTTCCCACTTGCACGACTTCTTTCCGACACTGTGTTAAAAGTGTTTTCTGCAAAGTGGATTTTGTCAAAGCTTATCATCAGATACCGGTTGTTCCAGAGGGCATTGAGAAGACCGCAATTACAACACCTTTGGGCTTGTCTGAATTTCTACGAATGCCAGTTGGTCTGAAAAACGCCGCACAGTCCCTTCAGCACTTCAAGGATCAAGTCACTCAAGGTCTTGATTTTTTGTTCGTTTACATAGGTGACGTCTTAATTGCCATCACATCGGTACAGGAAAACATGGATCATCTCAGCATTTTGTTTCAGCGTTTCGAGCAATATGGTGTTGCTATAAATCCGAAAATGTGCATTTTTGGTGCCTCTTCTATACAATTTCTGGGACATTACATGACGGCAGACGGAATTTGGCCTACGGAGGAAAAGATACAGACTATCAAAAACTTCCCCGAACCAGACTCATTGAAGAAAGTTCGACATTTTGGGGGATGTTTTATTTTCATCGACGTTTTATCTCTTTATGTGCCTCTATCATACAAGCTTTGACTGATATCCTTAGAAGAGATTCAAAAACGTTCAAATGGTCAGCATAAGCCAAAGAAGCATTGTCGAAAGTCGTCCTGTCCCCACATCAACCTCAAAGTATCCCTTATCCTACGTACAGATGCATCGGAGTTGGCAGTAGGAGCAGTCCTACAACAGAAATTAAACGCCGACGTCACTCCACTTGCTTTCTTTTCCAAGAAGTCAGAACCTACCCAGACACGTATCAACACTTTGGACAGAGAACTGTTAGCTATCTATCTAGTAGTGAATCATTTTGGTTTCTTGTTACATGGTAGACATCTCACCATCTTTACAGACCATAAACCCCTTTGCTATGCCTTTACCACTTCGCTAGATAAACTCTCACCGGGAGAAGCTAGACAGCCGGATTACATTCCCTACTTTCCAACTAATATTCAGTGTACCAAAGGAGATGCAAACGCCGTATCCGACTGTCTTTCTCAATGTCATATAAATCAGCTATCTCCGATAGACATCAGTTTGAACAGTATTGATCAATTAAAATGCAATGACGCCGAAATTCGCACTTGTGGAGAAACGTTTTCCTTACACTTCCGTCGGATAGAACCATCGTTTGTGATGTTTCAACAGGCGTTCATCGCTCTTTTGTACCTCGAAGTTGCCGACAAGTCTTATTCGAACACTTACATTCGCTATCCAATCCTGGGGTATGTGTTGCTGTTGGATTTATCAGGTAACATCTCGTGTGACGTAGAATGAACTCTGGCTTTCGGAAATGAGCACTGGAATGTCTCCAGTGTCAATGCTCAGAAGTACATTGCCACACTGTTACAGCTCTGAAGACATTTGATTTACCTGATAAAAGATTTCAACATCTTCATATCGATATTGTGGGACCATATCCAACATCAAGAGGATACACGCATATTCTTACAACCATCAACACATTCACTCGATTGGCTATCTCATGCCCGCTAAACGATATGTCCACAAAAAATGCTGCTTTGGTTTTTCTTGATCGTTGGGTATGAAATTATTGAGTACCAACTACTGTTGCATCCGATCGAGGAGCTCAGTTCTAATCCACTCTGTTTCGCGAATTAACGAGACTCCTTGTAGTGAATCATATCTCCACGAAGGCTTGTCATCCGGTAGCACCCTCGACTTTCGAGTCTGTGGTGCCACTTGCTCAGAAAATGTTAGGTCACTCGAGTACCTCAGGCCTAAGTCAACGACACTTTGGAGTCTGGTTAGGTTAGTAGATTGAAGCGTGAATTTTATGTTGATTGAGGATGCGCCGAAGCAGATCCAACCACATTTGTTCAGATTGAATTGTAGATTCCATAAAGGTGGCCAGGCAGTCACTTTATCTAATTCATTCTGCACAACTTTCTGGAAGCACCACAGGTCCTCACACTGGAATATATAAGTCACTTTTAGGTTATCTGCAGTGATGAATGGTTTATCATGTGAGGAGCAAGTGTAAATAGGACGGGTGTGAGTAGATAGGTCTTAAATAACTTCTAGCACCACCATACGCCAAGTATTTTTTGCTTCTAGGAGAATAGTTGTGAGAGATCGGCTGCGTGCCTACGAAAGCTTCTGCAATATTCAGAAAGTGACTCAAGCTAGGTAGTAGTACTCAAACCATAACAGACCTTGTTCCCCTTCAAAAAGTGCGGCTAGTTACTGTGTTTCTTCAGAATTAATCTTGGTACCGATGAACGTTTTTCTGCCACGACCATGCTAGACTTGGACGGGAGAAATCCCCTTGCGATGAAGGCTGACAGAAACTCAACAATCCACCCACATGCAGGGAAAACACCTATTCGCTGCTGCCAGTAAATGCTGATAGTCGGAAAATAATTGGTCTTTGAGACGACTAAGGTGTGTTTATGCTTGCTATTTTTGTTTTTGTCACAGTCCTGCTTATGAGATGCCCGAATAAGATCCAAAAGCACAAAACATTTTGCAGCCGAGGAATAAGTGGACAATTTCCTATGCCCCAGCAGTCTTAGCAAGTACACGACTGTATTTCACAACGCCGACATCACCACTTAGTTCTGATCAGTAGATATGGTGGTGGTCACTAAGGTGAATCGCCCCATTCTGCAGGAACAGCAGTATGCAATTTGACGGCTCGAGATTTTTATGAGGGCTTGAATCTTTATCTTGAAAAAGATAATAATGATCGCCTAGACAGATCATGCTTCTACCTTCAAACATATACCATTCGGTCAGCCTATTGCTGAGATGCGACCACGTGGGCTCTGCACAGATTTTTGGGGCATCTTATAAATTAACATGCTTTCCTTTGTCGTATCTTCGAATATCACTTAACAATGTCTCATCTCATTCATTTTCTAATAACGTCTTCACTTGCTCATTATATTCCACTAAACCTAACATTTTATAGCTCTTCATGAATTTGATTCGACTTATTCTATTCCTATTCTCTGTAGGGTACGGTTGTGCACCAAATACACAAAAAGGTATGAAATAAAAACAACCGGCTTGTGGATAATTGTATTAAAACCAAAAGTGGACATCATGATAGTAAGACCTATATGGGTAGCATTATACATTGCAAATGAACTTTGTCAGCCTAGGGATTATAGTCTCCCATTGTATTTCCTTTATGAATGCATCTATTAATGATACATTGCACTTACCTATTTCATTACACTTTAATGATTCACCTTAGCACCTTGACTTTTCTAAAACAGCTTACTATCCCTTGTAAGCGTTGTACTTACCTCAATATTGGTTGGTTATCGTATGCCTACAAACACGGGTTGAAAACGAAGCGAAGTTGATTTTCCCGCGCAACCTGGAGGACTACTGTACAATTCAATAATGATACGGCCTGGGTCAGACAATGAGTGTATTTATATATATATATATATCAAATATTTAGCTGTTGAAACATTATTAACTTGTAGACAATCTACTATTTGACATTATATCATACTTGATCGTGCCTGTAAAACTGGCATGCATTTTCATGTAAATTTATGTTTATATGAAAATATGCATTATTATTATTAACTGTCACCAGTCGGTCATATAGGTATTTTACTGTTGCTAACCTTGCTATGTCTCAGGGAAGTAGTCTTACCCTATCTGAAACAGACACATGCTGAAATGTAATACATATATGTATGTACAAATTAACCCATAGAAGGTTTCTGATTTGTACTGTTGTATTTATCTAATCCGTCTACCATGTTATCATCTAATAAACCGTTTGGTCAGCAACTACTGTTAATTCAACAGTGTCGAGAATGGGTTTATTAGTATTACTGTGCAGATGTTCTATCGGAAATCCGAAAAGAAGATGAATAAGACTGCGTCTATTTCTGGTGACTCCCATCTAGCCCTGATGCCTTCGTGGTTTTCAGTAACTTTACGGCCTCTAAAGGTTGGCATCTAATGGTGCTTCTGTGTCTGCTCACGATATTACTGGACAGATTGCAAGTATAAGTCGGTCCAAGAATCCCTCAAAGTGGTCCGTCCAGTGCTTCATTTATTTCACACCCCTGAAAGTTGGGATCTACTTGTTGTCTCTCACTGCTTATCTCTTTCCAGGTAATCCGATCTTATTCTGAAGTCCCTTTTACCCGCACCCAGTACTTCCCCAGTTGCCAGGAGACCTTTTATCTTTCTTCGAACAATTTTCCACTTCTTCGTCCAATGCATTGTGGGTTATACTCAGCAACTCCTTCTTGCGATCTCTCCTGTACTGGTACATGACTTCTCTCCCCTCTTTCGGCGTCCCGGCGTTTGTAGTGAGTTATCACTCGTCTTTCCTCTTCTCATTGCTGAAGATGTCTATGAAGGTTTCCTTCAGCATCACCTTTAAAGAATCCCAGCTTTCCCGCACACACGTTTCTTCGATGTCACTGCATTATGTCTCCGACTGTTACCTGAAGACTATGGTGAAGATGTTCTCCGTAGTCATATCCTTCGCTTCGTGAGGATGACCTATCTCCAGCCGCTTTGACGGCTTTTGACTTGACGTTGTAGTTTATCTGTACTAGAAAATGGTTTGAACGCTCAGTTGCTCTTTTCTTCAACATTGTGTACAGTAGACTGAGTCTTCAGTGTTTTAAGACTGATATGGGTCTGTCTGATTTTTCTGTGACCAAGTGGTGAGACCCACGTCACTTTGTGAGTGTTCTTACAGCTCTAGACTTAGCCTACAATCACTAAATCATTAAAGACGTAGAAGTTCATGACCCACAGCAAGTCATCTACTCAAAGATTGCCCTGCATTCATGTTGCGGTGTGTGACAAAAGCAAGGTTTTTCAAGTAGCATATGCAAGCAGATATAAGTATATATATCATCTGAAACAATATTGAATAGTGGAGGGCTCGATTTAATCAAACAACATAGATAAAATGAAGACAAAAGAAGAACGATACAGAGGATATGTGCAAACTGCAATCTAAATATGGGGTAAATGTATTGTGACGATATCTATACGCCAACTAGCCGATGAACAATCCGGTTACCAAATACTACTGTGTCCTGCTGTTACAACATCATCCGTTAGAATTTCGATACTGTCATCTAGTTCCCTTCTGCTTGCATTTGTCTTTGGAAATTCTCCTTCTTCTACACTGGGTTTGCACTGTTTGCGAGTGTGTAGCATTAAATAATTATAAATTCACCTCCTTTGAACCTGGCCGTCATCATCGTGGAGTAAATCGGTTCTCACTTCGTGGGGACTGTTGACGCTTTTGGTTATAAAGTAATGGCTCGCAGTTATCGTCTGGGTGATGGGAGCGCAATAATGATTTTCCGGTTTGTAATCTGAACAGTTCGTTTTCACTCAGTCTTCTTTTGCAGATCCTCTGATTCCCTTTTGTTTTGCTATCTGATCACCTTACCAGCCAATCCCAAACATATAGAGAACATTCCATGTCAGTGTGCTAATTTTCGCTCTCATAAGGAGAAGACATATAGCCTGATGGTTTTATCTGTTATCATCATTCTTTCTCAAATCGATGATGTTTCCAAGTCCCTGAGGAGAACAAGTGCTTTTTCTGTGTTTTGACGTTTCCGTATTTACTGGGTTGCTAGCTCCACTCTCAGCTTATCTTCTTTTCTGGCCTTGGAAACACTTACTAAGCTAGCCGAGGTTTCATCTGCTTTAGATAAAAGTGCAATGGGCGTACATTCATCTCATCTGTTCCTTAAGTTTTAGAAACTTACTCACGGTAGTGCAAAACAAAGGACACGTGACGACAAGTTGCTCAGAGTAGACTTTGGCATTTACAGCCAGGTTAGATTACTAGTGATCCAGTAAGTCCTCATAAAACACTGGGTTGGGGATCTGTGAAAAAACTGAAGAACGGCTGACCGAAGGTCTGTGATATGTATAAGACCGAATTCTTCTGCTCGTTAAAAACAATTTTTGATAATCATTCCTTTGTATTTCACCCACAGTATGCCAGTTCATTAGATAACTTTAAGGTTTCTGAACTTGCTTGCTTTTTGGCATCCATTAGAAATGATGTCCATGTTTGTCATTTGAAACCTGTCGTTACAGACTCACTTGTTGACTACAAAGTGACGTTTTAGGAGATGCGGAGGGTTGTTGACATTTACGCGAGGTACGATGTATACAAACGCAAGGTCTTATCCCATAACACGTATAATATTTATTCTGCTTAGACCAGAGGCAAATAGAAACACCGACTTGACCGTACAAAATACGAAATATATTCCGGGGTCAGAATCGTAGTGCGATGATTGCTAAGCTAGGTAGAGATCGTGCACGAACGGATGAAAGTAACACGACAGTGTGTTAGGTGGCTTAGGTGCTTGACCGCAAACCTTCAGCTAAACGAGTCGGCTTGGAAAATGAAGGTTAGCATACAATGTTGAATGCCGTAGGCTTATGATTTTGAGGAATAATTTACTGCCACAACGTGTAATCAAACCTGGATTATCCTAGATTGGCCTGCAGAATGTACGCAACACATCCTCAGTAGTGAGAGAATGTTACACTTATGGCTGAGTAAAAATGTACTTCAGTTGGGGCAGTATGAAGACGTTAGAGAAATTTTCGACTGAAGTCTCCACCACGATTTCACTTCCTTGATCTCCAAATAACTGGAACAGTTGTCTTTTACCTCGGTAGAGATGAGTAGAATGAACAAGAAAAATGAATCATCTTGATTGCTATAGATTCCATCAATTTATGTGATGACTTTCATGACCCTAATTTCTGAGGAAATGCGTGTCTATTTTCAGTTCTTTCTCCTTTCACATCATCTGGATGGATGTATGGTGGCACAATGATTTCACAGTGATGATATCAACCTAGTAATGATATTATATTGCCCTTCAAAGCATACTAAAATCATGTGGGGTCACAGTAGTCGGCTGATAAACGAATTGATTTACGATCCACTCTTCACTTAATAGACAATGGACATACAGCTTTCAGAAGACCTGAAGTGGTTTCTCAGTAGTAAGAAGCGGGTATCCACATATTGGTAGTCCTGTCCAAGTTTGATATGAAATTGCCTGGTTTCTGTAGATGGGATTGAATACTGTATCTCTGGCGGGAGGTATAATAACAAGGTCGACTAAGGCGTGAATGATGAAGTTCAGCGTCACGTGTTCTTTGAGTGATACCTTACGCTTAGGGGTACTATCAGAAACTGCAAATAAAACAAGTCTTAATACCCCAGGATGTTTATTGTATACAAGATATGGTTCGTAGTTTCTACTGATAATGAACCCTACCACATTTAGGGAGTGTACCTTTTCTTTCACCTGATATATACGAAGGAATCAGCCTAATACCAGGATTTTCCTTCGCCTCCATGAGCTACATGTATGTGTGTTTCAAATTGGAAGTAAATTCTGTAGAGCAGAACGTAAATCAACCCTGTTGAAATATGGCCGTGGTCTTGTTGAGTTCGGTGCGTTGGGGGTATGGTTCTCAGTTATGACTTTACTTTCTAGAAACGTAAAGCTATTTTGTTCCAGTCTGATCCAACCAATTCGTCTTCTGTAGCAGCTGCCGCCAAGTCTTCTGTTCCTGTGTGGGCAACAGGGGGTCGTCTACAGTTGTCCATTGCCGAATACGCTAAATGTGTCTTAATGGCCTCTCCCGTGGCATATCAAGCGCCAACAGACAATGAGACGTTTCTTTTGGATAAAAATCCAACACCAAAGCGATGTAAAAATTCGGTCGTTAGAACTGCAGGATATTTAAGGAGATTGATTGAAGAACACTCTTTGGAAGAGGTAAGCTGTGATTGTTTGGAAATATGAATTAGGTTGAAAGATTATAGATATTATTATTCAGTCTGTTTCGCACATAGTTGTGAGTTATTTGTGTTTGGCTTTATTACTATTAATCGACGATGGAAATAAGCCAACTTACTGATTTGTTACGTTTAATTTATCTTAGATGCTGTAATTACCAAATGCTTTTAAAATGACAGATGTTTCTGGATAAGCAGCTTTGTTAATGATGCTGCCATGAGTTTTCTAAGTAGCCGGGAATGGTAATGTAATGAACCCATTTCTTGTCTTTTTAAACCCAATAGTATTCAAAAACTACAAGAATGTAGTGTAGTGGAACATTATGAAATCACCAAAAAGAAATAATAATAAGAGTTTAATATAGTCAGTGTGCTGCAGTAATAGTATTCATGCTGTAACCTCTTATCTTCTAGTTTTTTATAATCAATGGTCTTTGTTTTGAAAATGAGATATTGATTAGGGCTGAAGATGTGCTTCATTAACATAGTTTCATACTATTCGTCTAATTCTCACCTTTCCTGCCCGCTTGGTTTGATACTTACAAGGCCCACCTACTGACTGACTGAATTTGAACACAGGACTTAACACAGAAGTGTAGTAGTTCAAGTTGCCACATTCTATGCTGTACATAAAGGTGGACAGAAGAAAGAAAAAGGAATTCTAAGCTAATATAATAATAATTATAATAACAATAATAATAATACGATTTACGAGGGCAAAAGTCATGTCTGATGGTTAATACAGTATACTGAGAAAATTCATGAACTGTTCAATCCTGAAAACCAAATAATGTTTTAAATTTGTACATGTCTAGTTGTAGAACTCTTACGGGTTTCATGCACATTTTTCCGTTTATAGACTTGAGAAGATTAAGAACAAATATTCGAGCAGAACGACATGAATCCATCTTATTTTATTCATTCTCTGCAGCTATGTACAACTTATTTATTACATAATGTATTTGATAGGCGTCAATACTGTTGTAGTGAATACAAAAATTACTCCTTGTCCAGTCTCATAAATGTATACAAGAGTCAAACTAATGGGTAGAAGTTTCATAGATTGACATTTTAGTCTTATCATCCCACTCTTAATTTCGTCTCCATGTAATCCTATTCTAGCTAATAATGTCCGTTGGAGGAGCCCCACAACTTGATCAACTGATTTTCGGTTCTTATTATTATCATTCCGTTGGGTGGCAAGTGGAACACAGAGCATCAACGGCACATCTCCATTTCACTCTGCTTTCTGCAGTCTATTTTTAGCTGGGTACATGACTGACTATAAGCTTCCATTTCCTCATATAATCTCTGCCATGTCATCCTCTCCTCAAGCTCTGCCATTCCTCAAGCAGTACACCCTCTACAATGGAAAGTCCTCCACTACCTCACTTATTTTAGCTGGTGTTCCTCAAGGTGCTGTTCTTTCTCCTTTTCTGTTTTCTTTTTTCTCACATGACTTGCCCCATTCTGATGTAGCCACTTTTGTCAAGTATGCTGATGACCTCTCTGTCTCTATGCCTGTCAACTCTCAGTCCGATTGTTCCAAATTGAATAACTTTCTGTCGGAAATTAGTCAGTGGTCCTCTTCAAATGGTCTTAAGCTGAATCCGTCTAAATGTCAGGTAGTAAATTTCACTTTCATACGAAAACGTGACCTACAACAACTAGCTAGTTCACATGGTCCCACTATCATTGACGGCATAGAGGTTGAAATTACATCTAATGTCAAGTACCTTGGACTGAGTATTTCCTCCGATCTTTCCTGGTCCTCTCACATCTTGCTAGTTACTAGAAAGATGTTTCGCTTAACGTTCTACGTTAGGAAGTTAAGACAGTCTGGTATAAAGCAGTCTTTGCTTTCTCAGTTTGTCAATTCTTGAATTCTAACCATCCCTCTTTACTGCTCCCCATTAATCTTTCCTGGACTACTTAAGAAAGATTTTGCTTTGCTGCGTAGGTCACTAAAAGCTGTTAGTAGGGCAAGTGGGATTTCGTTAAACTAACTGGTTAACACCATTGTGGATAGACATATAATGTCATGTAAGAAACTAGCGAATACTATATTGTCAGACCCCGAGCATCCTCTCTATACGCAGCTCTCTCCTTGCATTTCATCTGGTAGAACTAGAAGCAACTATAGGAAGCTATATGCTAGGACTACCAAGTACAAAAACTCCACGATACCTTATCTGGCACAGCTATTATTTGATGGGAAATCCGTTAGGTATGACACGATCAACTTACTGCGGCACTCTTAACAAATAGTTCCCATTAGCTTTTGTTCTCCTTTCTTTGTTACTATTATATTGTTGCTCACATATTCTATTACACACTAATTTTATATATCATATCCTGTGGTGCATTGTTTAAAGTGTGAATGCAATGCTGTTCTTTTTTTATTTCTTTTATTTAAAGAGATTCCGTTATCAGTCCGCAATTGCTCTGGTAACTTAATTTTTGATGAGTGAGAAATCATTTATTTATCTACGTAATTTCATGGACGTTACTCATTTTGCTATCCTCAGCCTAGACTTCATACAAAGTAATTTTAGTATTCACTACGACAGTATTGATATCTAATAATGTGAAATATTCCCATATCATGAATTTAAAGTCAATCTGAACGAAGAATATTCTTTTCAATAATTTCTCCTCTTCAGGTTCTTACACAATTATAAAATATAACGCATTTGTTGTCGTTACAATAATGGCCAGTTATGCAGCGGATATATTTCTTGACGTAGAATAACAGATTAGTTATGTATGGGGTGTCAAAATAAATAAATAGTCGTATTTGTGTGACAAACGTGCTAGTTGGCTGAAATCGATTACAAAATATTGTAAAATGGGAGACAATGGTGGTGGTGATTAGTCATAATAGATTTGTAGAGTATGGGGTAGGAAAATTGATGTCAACACAGTTTTCAGGGTTATATACCGAATTCCCAAGTCGTTATCACGTACAGTTCGCTTACGTCTCCTAAACATAGCAGAAGCTGTTGCAATAAGATCGACTAAACCGGAACTTTGTATCCAAAAAGAACACGTTCAATTGCTGTTCCTACCGTGGCCAAACTTGGATTGATGATTCTTCTTATCACCAAGAGTGCTTCTTCCCCTTAACCCTCTTGGTTTTTTTGTTTTTTTCCTTTGCTTTTTATTACAATTATTATTATTCGTCATAATTTATGCCCTTCATGCAAACATTCTCTCAATACTATCGAATTTTCCATTTATACTATCCGGAATTATTATTAGTGATATTATCTCTTTTCTCAATATATGCCTCCACCTGTTTCATTTTACACATTCGTTATTTCATTATGAACCTCTCATTGCAGTCTTACTATCTCCTGTTTAATACAGACCACTTTGTACTAGCCACTCACCTGACTGACACCTTTTATAACCTTGAACTGACTTGTCAATTTTCCTACCCCACACTCTACAAATCTATTATGACTAATCACCACCACCATTGTCTCCCATTTCACAATATTTTGTAATCGATTTCAGCCAACTAGCACGTTTGTCACACAAATACGACTATTTATTTATTTTGACACCCCATACATAACTAATCTGTTATTCTACGTCAAGAAATATATCCGCTGCATAACTGGCTATCATTATTGTAACGACAACAAATGCGTTATATTTTATAATTGTGTAAGAACCTGAAGAGGAGAAATTATTGAAAAGAATATTCTTCGTTCATATTGATATCTGTCAAGTATATTTTAAATGTATTAAACATTTAGTTTTAATTTTATGTAATAAATATTATAAGTTGTGTACATAGCTGGAGAGAATGAACAAAATAAGATGGATTCATGTCGCTATGCTTCAATGTTTGTTCTTGATCTTTTCAACTGCGAGTTTTTCAAATTTCTAAAAAATATAGTCTGTCTCTTCAAATGAACTTTCGTCAAGATTTGACCGAATAGTTCTAAAATATTTGGGCGCCGAGTGAGAAGTAGACATTTGTAAAAAATTATATTTGTAATATCTCAGCGATATTGAAATGAGTAATTCCAACGTTTCGTTCGGCAATCTGGTCCAAACTTCTTCAGGGAAATTAATCGAAATTAACATAACAGAGGTTTTATATATAAAAGGCACATCTTTTTAAAAACTTTGTCCAATCATGATTCATAAACACAAGTATAATAAACAAAATTGTATGAGCTGTGATCAAAATTTGACTTCGGACTTACAAATATTGGTCTACCTTTGTTAAATACTTTAAACAGAGTGTGCATGTGTGTGTGTGTAAACAGTTGTAAAACATTTCTTAACGTCTCCATTGGAAGATGTAGGCAGTCAGGAATTTGACCAAGTATTATTAATTAGTGATACATATCCATTTTTATTTATTAATCAGGATTTCCTATGCATCAGCTAACATCAAATAGTCTGTCTCTGTCTGGATTCAACGTAGAACTTGTCACCGAAGTGCAGCAGTTCGAGTTGTCACGTTCCAAAGAGCACACAGAGGTAGACAAGAAAATGAGTGAAGAGAATCAATAGAGTTTTGACAGGTATAAGAGTGAAACAGAATGAGTAATGGTAGAAGGGAATATGAAAGATTACAGAGACTGAATACATCTGCGTAAGCCATTGACAACGATTTTGAGCCATGTCACCTATTGTCTCCAGCCATTGATTCTTAGAGTCCCGAGGGCCCCAACCCGGAATTGTGCATCTCCCTATCTGACTCAGTTTAACTGTTAGGGATTTCATGGATTGATGCGATGTTTTTGTTTGGCCACCACTTACTCTTTTCCAACCTGCACCTATATCAGCTAGTAATGACCGTCCGTCGGAGGAGGCGATGGTTAGGCATGCGCAGCACGTGACCTAGCCATCTCAATCTATGTAACTTTATAGCCTCTTCGATTGTTTTTCCATCTTTGCCCAATACTCTACGCCTAACGTCAACATTGCTTACTTTATTATACCACCTAACATGAGAAAGAGATCGTAGACATCGATGGTGAAAAACAGTCAACCTTTTCATGTCTTCAATTCGTGTATTGGTCATGTTTCAGAGCCATAGAGAAGGACGGAGCGAACTGCTGAGCAGTACACACGTCCCTTGGTTGATAGTCGGATGTCACGTCTACGCCAGAGATGGTGTAAGTTAGCGAAAGCAGCTCGAGCTTTTCGGATCCGTGCTGAGATTTCGTCGCCAATCAGTCCGTTGGTGCTGATACAACTTCCGAAATAGGTTAAGTGGTCAACATGTCCTATCACTTCACTCCCTATCACTAAGCTAGAGGTAGACATAGTCCAGTCCTGTAGCAGCATCTTACATTTAACAGGGCCGATTCGCATGCCAAACATACGAAGATTGCTGCTCAAGGTGTTCAGAAGACTGCATTTTGTTAGCAACCTCCCTTAACAGGACTATGTTATCTGCATATTCGAATTCCATAAGACTATTCCCTGGTAACAAGTCGATTCCTAAGTCGTCAAGTTCAGTTAAGGATACTTCTATTAGCATATCTATGATGAATTTAAACAGAAAAAGGGAAAGTGGACATCCTTGACGGACACCACTGGTTGTTATCGATTCAGATGACAATTCCCCATAAGCCCTTACATATATTTTTTCTTTCAAAAATATAGATTTAGTGATGTGAAAAATTTCATGACTGAGTAGTTAATTTTAAAAAAAAATAAAAAAGAACACAATCACTAAAATCTTGAACGATGTTGTATAGAGTTACATCTAGATAAACTGGAGTTTCAAACTTGATCTGATTTACATAGGAATGATTAGTGCCAATTACTGAATGAAGTGAAAAATGAATATGTTTGTTTTTGCATCTCTTTTACTTTTTCTTGTGTTTTTGAAGGAACTCGCGAAAAAATCATTGTTGGTTTCCATTGCTGGTGGTCATGATCTTGAGTTTCGTCTTCGATCGATTGCTGATATAGATTTCTCAATTTGTTCAGGTAGGCCTATACAATGTAATGTAGAACTTCTTTTTTTTACGAGTTTGACCACGGATTGATATCGTTTAGAGAACCATTGAAAACCAGCACTGGAGTACTACCAGACAGCTGTTTCCGTCGTCCTAGTTCAGGAATCATCGTCAGTACGCACCCACTGCCAGGGGTCGAACCCAGGACCTTCCCGTTACTTTACTTTACTACTTTACTTCGGCTATCTCCTACGGGAGGATGATCCGGCTTCATGAAGATCTCGAATCATCGCTGCCCAGGCGCGGCGATCTGATGCAAGGTTTTGCAACAGGGTTATCCAATTCTTGTTCCACAGACGGAGTCCGTAGACGGTTTGTAGCCCCAGGCACTCCATATCAGCCTTGACTGTACCAAGCCATGTTTTCAGCTGTCCACCCCTGCGACATCGCCAAGATGGTAATGGCGAGGGATTTAGAACTGATTTGACCAGATCGTCATCTGGTCGGCGCAGAACATGGCCAAACCACCGAAGGCGACGTTGCTGGACCAGTACTGGAGTTCGGTTGATGTTGTAGCAACGACGACGACGAGTTCATGAAGTTTCATGGGAATTTGGTACGAGTGATGTCCCCAGAATCGCTCGGCCTTTCGTTTGAGAGTGCAGCTCTAGCCTTTACACAACCAAGTGTGACCTACAAGGCAGTAGGAGTGAAGTAGGGAGTCCACTATCCATTGGCAGCCGGTGACCGGAGTTCGGTTCATACGCCTTTTTGAATGGGGCCAGACATCCAGGACATCCAACAAGCCCTTTGTCCATACGTGTGCCGGTGAGCTCCAGTGAGCTTCATACGCCAGTCGTTGGAGGTTTGGAATCAGGGTTTAGCCATCTCCCCTAGACTGTCATCCAATGGACAGTCAACCCGGTGAAGAGCGCCAGGCATCCGCTTTCGCCCTCTCACTTTGGTGAAAAACACCTCCGCCACGTGAAGGCAGTGAGTAGGACTTCCTCAGGAGAGGCTATGTAAGACGCCCGGTCATATGGGAGCATTTCAAGAGGTGTGCGGAGGGGTGGCCAACCCGCAGCGCAAGGCACCCAGCCCCGACCATCCCGAGGCTTTGGAGGCGTTGCAAGCAAGCAAGCTCGTATACCATTCAGCCACTGGGACCCGATTCAATGGCCAGCCCATGAATTCTAACTTCTATCAATTCGTGATTTAGCGCGACTGGCACCAACCAATGTCATCCTCACACGTGACATCTGGATGGACCTCACTGGTCACGACTTCTCGCTAGAACTCCAGGAAACTCCTTTCTGTAGCAAGTCACTAGCGTGCATCAGATTAATTTTCAACAGTTGGTTTGTAAGGATTTAATTTGTTTTTTTTACGATTTTGACCACGGATTGATATCAGTTAGGGATCCATTGAAAACCAGCACCGGTGTACTGGGGAGCTGTTTCATCCTATTTTGGGAACTTTTTATCACACAAATCTTGAACTTTGCACAAAGCGTAGCAGTTCAAATTGCTATACATCTTAAAAGCATACAGAAAGGTCGAAAAAAATAAATGCAGTGAAACTGAAATGGATGAAGATGTACAGGGATATGAATAATTGAGTGAATAATTTTGAAAATCACAAGGAGCGAACAACTGCTACCTTTAAATGGCAGCCGGGTTTGCATATCGCAATAATCCGACGAGACATACTAGTTGGGATGAATGTCTCTGCAGACCCTATCATTGTACAGAGGTCTTTTGGATAGCAGTTAGATTGAAATAGTTGTAAGCTGTGCTGCTCCCCGTCGTTGTGGAGAGGAAACGTTAGAAAAGATTACCTCGAAAAATTGTGCTCTCCATACAGTAGAAATTCCACCTGCGAATTGACCATTTGTGACCAACTTTAAAGAGTTGTCTCTTGGGCTCTGCAGTCATGCAGCACTAATGCTTTTCCTCTTTTTGGCACTCCAAGAAGGAATCAACTCCCATGATGTGAGCAGCTGGGAAGTAGCAACCTCTCACTCACACACACACACACAGCTCTACTGTTCATCTAGTATAATGGTAGAGCAAGATGTGATACGTGTGTGAATTAATGCAAACATTTACTGTCTGTAGTACTGTACCATAGACCATTGGTGAAAATTGTATCTTCTAATGCATCACAGAACTTAGTAGTTTTATAGTAACATGTAGGAAAAAATGGTAACTGACGAATATGTGTAGGTTATATTTATGTTATACCTCAATAGATATGGATATAAGTAATTCTAACTTTTTGTTAGGTAAACTGGTCTAAACCCCTTCAGAGATATAATCGAAATCCGTGATCCACTCGTAAAAAACAAAACTAACCCTTACAAACCAAACTATAGAAAATTAATCTGATGCTCGCTAGTGATACTTGCTACAGGATGGAGTTTCCTGGAGTTCTAGTGAGAAGTCGTGACCAGTGAGGTCCATCCAGATGTCACGTGTGAGGATGGATTTCCCACCGATGACATTGGTTAGTGCCAGTCGCGCTAAATCACGAATTGGTAGAAGTTAGAATTCATGGGCTGGCCATTGAATCGGGTCTCAGTGGCTGAATGGTATACGAGCTTGCTTGCTTGTAACCGGAAAGTCCGGGGTTCGAAATGGCTGTGGTGGGGGCGTACTGACGATGATTCCCAAACTAGGATGAAACAGTTGTCCATTAGTTCATTGCTGGCTTTCAATGGTTCTCTAACTGATATCAATCCGTGATCAACTCGTAAAAAACAAAACTAATCCTTACAAACCAAACTATAGAAAATAAAAACTTTATTTTTAAGGGAGATAACGTCTAGTTTGCAAACACCTTATCCAACAGTGTCTACGCTGAAAGTAGAAAACTTGAAGAGGCTAGCTGTTTGTATTGTTATCGCTGAGGCTAAGGGGGATAATGTGGTGATTAATACTGAGATTAGTCGTAAAGTGTTAGAAAAAGAAGAGAAGTCAGTTGATGGTTTTGTAAAACTGCATCGATTGAAGCGGTTGGGACACGTGTTACGCACACCACTACGTCGTTGGGCGATATTAGTTGACATAAGATTAGGTCTGAACAGACAGAGTTGGTGGAATCGAAACCTGGCATCAGTCTATGAAGTCTTTGATTGTCAGTTTGAGCTACTTAGAAAGCTGTCGACCGTCTAGTTGGTATCCTGGAGACTGTTAGTGAAAGGACTCAAAGCCGTTCTCAATGGAGTAGACGCATTCACTGATTGTAATCTTCCAAATCTATTAAATCGTTATCATTCCCTATATACGCTTCTGTTCGTTATTATCATTTTCTAAAATTATTTTATTCCTTTACGTTCCCCCAGTGGAACATAGGGCTTCAAGCCTAGGGCTTTGAAGTTGCGGTAACAGTGGTGTTTACTTTTACGGGAAAGGATTGCTAGCCTCATGTGCCAAGCCTTCCCTCTTTACCAGTCTTATTGCTGGCTTAGCGAGGTAAAGGAGATGTTACTCAGAAAACAAAATTACAAATTAAGTTCAATTGATGATCAAAACTGAGTAGATCTTTTTCCGGTGAATGCTGATAAATGTGACAAATCTTTCTGATGAGTAACATCAGAAAGAAGCTTTATCTTATGGACTTAAATTTTGTGTTCCTCGCATGCAATTTATGGATTTAGCCATCCATGCTGAGTTCGAAAACTTGTATGACTAACTCAAACCTTTTGCCACAACATCCGATGAAGATCAGGGTTGGTTTAAAGCCAAGATGGTGGATATAGCCCACCGGTTTTTAAACAACAATCCGAAAGAGGAAAGCATTTCAAAGCCTTGAAAGAGATATAAGAAAGCCCTAATATAGTAATTACGAAAGCTGATAAAGGTTCTGGAGTCGTCATTATGAACAAATTGAGAAGATAATTTCAATTAGATAATTCTGTTTGGCACATAATACATAGTGACTAATACAGTATTAAATAATTGGATGATGGTGTTTCGATCAAACACTGTATTGTTCATAATTATGTATCCACTGATTGTAAAAAATCAACAAGATGTTTACTTTTATGAAATTTTCTCCCATCTATCTCCCCCGTTCATTTGTCCGTGATTCATTGGTAGAATGCTCAGCAACCACGCTGGTTGTTCCAGTCCGATTACCGGTTGTCTGCCTGGTTTCAACGTAGAACTTTGCACCCATGTGCAGTAGTTCGAGTCGCCACACTTCACTCAGCACACAAAGCCGGAGAAGAAAGTAAAAAGAAATGCAAAATAACGACAGTAAACAGCGATATGAGGCAAAAAGAATAGTAAATATAGCATATAGAATAGTCAACATCGCCAGAGTACCTCTCGGTCGACAGAATCGAATGCCGCCTTTAGGTCAAGAAATATAACGATTGTTGGACGCCGGTAAGTATGCCTATGTTCCAGAATCTGTCGAAGAGTGAAGATATGATCAATACACCCTCTTCCTGGCCTATAGCCTGCCTGGTTCTCTCGTGTTTGTGCCTCCCAAGCACCACTTAGTCTACGCATTATTACTGAGCCTAGAACTTTAGATAACATATTAGTCAAGCTAGATTACCTCTGTTTATTGTGTTCACTACCTTCTAGGTGAGGTTTAGTAGATTACCGGTTAATGCACTACTAAACCTCACCTAGACGGTAGTGAACACATTAAACAGGGAAGGTTGAGCGTGAGGATAGCAACTACACCTCGTAGAAGAATAACATCTCTGCTCTTGTCAAACGATCTTAGCCACTGAACACACATGTATATATTAAGATTTGGTTTTTCTTTTGTATCGAACCATATATATTTGTACGTATTTGGTTTCTTTATTACAATTATTTAGGTGTGGTTATTGATGGACTTCTCCGAAATTTACCAGTATCTGCCGTTGAAGTTAAAGATGCCGACAATCAAGATAAAAGCCTGATCGACTTTTTGACAACTACACTGCCAAAAATATTCGCACATATTCCAAGTCATCTGCCTCGTTTTATTACACAAATATGGCAACCGTATGATATTGCCTTGGCAGCTCGTTCAGGCTGTGATATATTTGATGGAAGTCTGCCCTATAGACTTAGTCGTAGTGGAATTGGTTGGATTTATGAAGATTGGAATGATGCCGGTCAATTGGATGGTGTGTCTAAACCAAGATTTCTAGTATTTCCTTTTGAAGAACCTATTCAGCTAAGTGAAAGTGAACAATTCTTACCTATACAACCTGAATGCAAGTGTTTTGCTTGTTCGCATCATACACGTATATACATATCTCATTTACACATTGCTCAAGAAATGTTAGCACCAATGCTGTTAATGATGTAAGTGCTTTTTTTCCCATATTTTTCCATACTTTTATAACACTTATATCTCCTTTCTTTTTTCCTTCACGTTCCTAGTGGAACATAGGGCTTCAAGCTAGAGGCTTGGAGTTTCTGTAGCAGTGTTTTACTTTTCCAGGATGAGGTTGCTCGCCTCATGCCCAACCTTTCCTCTTCATCAGCTTTTTTATTACTGGTTTAGCGAGATAAAGGAGTGCGTCGGTGGCTGGGGATCGAACCCTGGACCATGTGCATGGTCGGTGAGTGTCCTAACCACTGTGCCAGCGACGCACACTAACACTTATATGGTTCCCAGTATTCCCTCAAATATGATCCATACATTATTATTTAAACGCTGAAAAACTTGGTACAAAATGGCGCCAAGACGATGTGCCACACATTAATAATAAAACAACATAGATTAAAAGTAAAAATATAAGTAGAGAACGGATAAAGAACTTCATCTGGGGGGAGGAAAACAGTCATATTTAACAAGTTCAAACAGTATTCGTCAACTATCATCGGGAAGGGAGGGAAGAAGGAAATTGCAGCATGTTCGCTATTGATTACGATTCTTGGCCATATCCGATAACGTTTCGAGCCATCGATTCGAGCTATCTCTCGGACTCCTACCAGGGAGACGTGACGCACCAACCGATGCTAACCTAGCACAAATATCCTTCATCCCAAGATGCCACGTCATAGACTGACCCCACCTCTTCGCCTTTTCCATCCCGTCTCAGGGCTAGCGAACAAAGACCTGTACGGAAGCCTCTGGGATGATATTCGCAGTACATGTCCAAGCCACCAAAGCCGGTGTTTCCAGATGACGACACTCAACGAATGGTGATCTCCACTGTGTCCAAACACATGCCTCCAAACCTCAGAATTACTCACGCGATGATGCTATTGAAAGCAAGCAACCCTGCGGAGACAGCGATGATCGAATACGCAGAGCCGCCGCACATCCTCAGCTCGGAGAGACCAGGTTTCACAGGCGTAGAGCAAGACAGCCCGCACCGAAGTATTGTATACCCGACCTTTGACAGCCAGGCTAACGTCGCGACGGCGCCAGAGGTGGCTCAAGTTGATGTATGCCACCATAGCCTTCATGATACGGTTGGAAATCTCATCCGTCACCCATCCGCCAGCAATCACACAACTACCCAGATGATACACGAACTTATCAACAACTTCAAGCGGTTCACCTGCAAGCAAGAGTGAATGCAAGTACAGTCTCCTGCCAATCTTGTAACAGCACTTAGCGTTTAGACGGCGCAAAGCACATACCGCACTTATAGACACTGATCGCCAACTGATTAAATGCGATTTGGGCAGTCTGCATGCTATCGCACAGTAAACCGATATCATCTGCGTACTTGAGGTCGAAAAGTCTATCCCCAGGGAGCAGATCTACACTACCTTCACGCACATCCTTCAGAGCTGACTCCAGAATGTCATCGATGGCAAAGTTAAAAAGAAATATAGAGATCGGGTAACTCTGTCTAACCCCACTGTTGGTTGGGAAGAGTCATGATATATATATATATATATATATATATATATATCATGATCATTATTCCCTTGGTGGGTTCCGAATGGTGGAATATAGGGCTTAGATATGATGGAGAAGATTTGTAGCTCAGGTGGATGATTTTGATGTGGTTGTGTTCTCTGAGCTGGATAGTTAATTTGCGAAGTTTTCATCGCCCTACTAAGCGACATCTTCAGCGCATACTTCAATTTGATGAAGTGAGCTTTTAGATTTCTCCACGAGTTTATTAATCATCTCTCCCGGTGACCTTGGACGTGATTGGTTGTTTTTGTGTGTTTCCACACCTTCTAGGCTACTTGTATTGGAACTGATTGTTTCTTTGACTTGAACTTTGACCCTTTGTGTGTGTGAGGTTTCTTTCTTATCGGTTGATAAATTTTGTCAATCTCGATGTGTCTATTAATTGATGATTCACTGGAATGCCAAGCTTCTAAAAATTCTCTAGCATTCTTGCTGTTTCCTCTGTCTAATATTTGAACATTGTCCCAATCGAATTGATGTCCGTGGTTGTCTGTATGTAGTGATATGAGGGAGTGGATATCATGTCTTTTGACGGCTAGCTTATGTTCGTGGATACGAAGACGAAGAGGACGTCCACTTTGGCCAATGTAGTGTTTTTCGCAGTTGATGCAATTTATTTTGTAGATGATGTTGGTTTTATCTTCTTTCGTTGTTGAGTCTTTTGGTTGACATAGAGCCAGCTGAGTGAAGTGATTTTGTTGGTTTGTGTGCGACGTCAATTCCTAAAGGTTTGAAGAGTCTTGCAGTGATTTCTGAGATGTCCTTTATATATGGTAGGGCGATTTTCTTTGTGCTTTCCTTGGGGGCTTTTGGTTTGATAGGTTGGCTTGGGGGTATATGTCTTTTGATGAAATTCCGTGGATATCCATTCTTTTGGAAGACGTCCATGAGATATCTTTCTTCAATTTTTCTTAAGGTGGGAGTGCTGCAATGAGTCCTGGCCCTCTTGAATAGTGTTTGTATACAATTCCTTTTGTGTGTTATTGGATTGTTGCTGTTGTAATTCAGTATTTGGTCTGTGTGAGTTGATTTTCTATAAACTTGAGTTTCTAATTCCCCTGTGGTTGTTCGCTTGACTAAGACGTCCAAAAATGGGATTTTGTTCTCGGATTCCTCTTCTCTTGTGAATTTGATGTCGTTGAAGACGTTGTTTATTAAGTTGTGAGTTTTGTCCAACTCGTTTCTTTTGATTATTACAAATGTGTCGTCTACGTAACGTATCCAAATTTTGGGTTTGATCTTTGGTAGGATTATGTTTTCGAGCCTTTGCATCACTGCTTCTGCAATCAAACCTGATATTGGCGATCCCATGGGTGTTCCTTTGACTTGTTCATATATTTGGCCGTTGAATTGGAAGTACGTTGTTAGGCATAGGTTTATGCATTCCATCCAGCTTGTGTGTTGCATTTTTGATTGTTGTGGGAGGTGTTCGTCGTTGCTGAGTAATTGCTGCATGGTATCTTTTGCTAGTTTCTGTCCAATTGAGGTATATAATGCTGTGACATCGAATGATATCATTATTTCTTGTTCATCTATTTGGATGCCTTTGATTTTCGCTAGAAATTGGATAGCAGAGTTGATGGAGTGATCACAAGATTCCGTTAGGTGTTTCAGTTTTCTGTATAATTCTTTGGATAAGTTATATGTTGGAGTTCCTGGGAGCGATACAATTGGTCGTAACGGGATATTTGGCTTGTGTATTTTGGGTCTGCCGTAGAATCGGGGTAGGACTGGTCCATTGGATTTCATTCGCCATTGGTCTTGTTTTGTGATCTGTCCAGTTTTGGTGAGCTTGTTTAAGGTTCTAAAGAACTTTAAGAACTAAAGACCCTCAAAAAGCTGAAAATTAAGAAGGACATCGTCATTCTACCAGCTAACAAAGGAAGAACAACAGTAGTCTTAGACAGAGAAGAGTACACCAAGAAAGCTGAAGAACTACTCAAAGACGAAAATGTATATCAACAACTCACACAATAAATCCCATACAAACAGACAAACGCATCCAAAGAGCCAATCACGTTCAAGGTCACCAGGGGAGATGACTAATAAACACGTGGAGAAATCTGAAAGCTGACTTCATGAAATTGAAGTATGCACTGAAGATGTTGCCTAGTAAGTAGGGCAATGAAAGCTTCGCAAATTAACTATAGCTAGCTCAGAGAACACGACCACATCAAAATGCGTAGCACGAGATGCGTCACACTTGTGTGAGAGCTGAGATGCTGCTTGGCCACCCAAACTGATGTAGATGGTTGACTTAAGGGACCGCCCCCCCCCGGGAGCCTTTGGTTTGTAGTCTAATCCGCACGGTAGCAGAGCAGCGTCAGGAGCTACGTTCCCATGGTTGCCGGTGACCAATACAGGTTCATATGCCATTTGATCCAATTGGATTTTGGAGTCCATGTTACCCCATAGTAACTGCTTTTAGTCTAACCGCTATCCAAACAACCTTTCTGATTTGGCAGGACCTACAGGAACATAAATCCCAGCCAGTGTAGCTTGTACTTAAGGGACTACTCGCCAAGCTTTTGATTGGAGGTCTAATCAACAAAGCAGCAGCGGAGGAGCAGCGTCACGAGCGAGACCTGCCTTCCAATGATTCTAGGTGACCAAACCAGGTTCACACACAGCATTCAATCCTTTCAGATTCTGCAGGTGATATATACTATAGATTTTGAGGTAGTGTTTTCCCAACTTCCCTACACTGACCTCCATTTTCAGCAGTTCAGTGATATATAAGTGCCTAACATTCGAACTCTCAACCTTTCACTTTTGCAAGAATACCCATGTCATGTAAAGGTATCGCATAAGAATTACCTGGCAGAGGTTGTGAACGCATTGTCACATAAATGGTTTATTACAGGAAGGCTAGAGTCTCGACTGTACGAGATCGTTTATGTGAGGGGGGGGGATAAAGTTTACTACAAGAGTGTTAAACCAACTACTGAATTACTCATGAGGATTTCCTTCCTAGTATATATATATATATATATATAACGACAGAAAGTACATTGCACTAATCAAGGCACTCTACTCAAACTCACGTAGCCGTGTAAGGGCTTATGGGGAATTGTCATCTGAATTGATAACAACCAGTGGTGTCCGTCAAGGATGTCCACTTTCCCCATTTCTGTTTAACTTCATCACAAATATGCTAATAGAAGTATCCTTAACTGAACTTAACGACTTAGGAATCGACTTGTTACCAGGGTATAGTCTTATGGACTTAGAATATGCAGATAACATAGTCCTGTTAAGGGAGGTTGCTAACAAAATGCAGAGTCTTCTGAACACCTTGAGCAGCAATCTTCGTATGTTTGGCATGCGATTCGCCTCTGTAAAATGTAAGATGCTGCTACAGGACTGACTGGACTACGTCAACTCCTAGCTTAGTGATAGGGAGTGAAGTGATAGAACATGTTGACCACTTCACTTATTTAGGAAGTTGTATCAGCACCAATGGACTGATTGGCGACGAAATCTCAGCACGGATCCAGAAAGCTCGAGCTGCTTTCGCTAACTTACACCATCTCTGGCGTAGGCGTGACATCCGGCTATCAACCAAGGGACGTGTGTGCTGCTCAGCAGTTCGCTCCGTCCTTCTCTATGGCTCTGAAACATGGCCAATACGAGTTGAAGACATGGAAAGGTTGACTGTTTTCGATGATAGATGTCTACGATCTCTTTCTCGCGTTAGGTGGCATAATAAGGTAAGTAATGTTGACGTTAGCCGTAGAGTGTTGGGCAAAGAGGGAAAATCAGTCGACGAGGCTATAAAGTTAGATAGATTGAGATGGCTAGGTCATGTGCTGCGCATGCCTAACCATCGCCTCCTCCGACGGACGGGCATTACTAGCTGATATAGGTGCAGGTTGGAAAAGACTAAGTGGTGGTGGCCAAACAAAAACATGGCCTCATCAATCCATGAAATCCTTGACAGTTAAACTGAGTCAGGTAGGGCGATAAAGACTTCCGGGTTGGGGCCCTCGGGAGACAATGGGTGACATGGCTCACAATCGTAGTCAATGGCTTACGCAGGTGTATTATTTAGTCTCTGTAATCTTTCATATTCCTTTCTACCATTACTCATTCTGTTTCACTCTTATACTTGTCAAAACTCTATTGATTCTCTTCACTCATCTTCTTGTCTACCTTTGTGTGCTCTTTGGAACGTGGCAACTCGAACTGCTGCATTTCGGTGCCAAGTTCTATGTTGAATCCAGCCAGCCATATATGACGACAGAAGGTAAGTGTCAGGCAACAGATCGTTCTTCAAGAAAATCAACAGATTTTTATATATTTTCATGTACACTATTATAGATAATTCTTAGCAGACAAACATAGTCTTCTGATTGGTTGTTTCTCACTGAAAGTCAGTCTGTCGTCTTTTTGTGGCCGTTTCTTGAAGGTCAGATCATCTATCTATCTGCAAATTGTATCCACCCACGCATAGTCTGCTGTGATTGAATGTTTAGTTCCTCAAGGTTAAGCTTTGTTCTTGTTTTTTTCTCATGACCAGTATATGGGAGGTAAACATTGATATAAATTGCTGTCTACCAATTTTGGTTAGCAGACAGCGCTCACCACATATATCTATCAGTATTGTATACAAGTGTATTTTTAAAATGAGTTCTATTCACTCTTTGTTTTTTTTGTTTTGTTTTTCATGCTTTCACAGTCACAATTCTCATCAGTATTATCGTTTCTTTGCTGATCTTCGTCGATCGATATCTTTAAATAAAATTGATGCATTCATTAGTCATGCTGAAAAGTGGATATTTCCGCATCACTTAGTAATGGTTGATAAAACGAATGAATTCAACAAAAACTCGGGGAATACGGACAATGATGATGTATAAAAATTAAATTGTATACTACCAATTTTTCATCTTATGTACATAGTCTCATTTTCTCATTTTGCTCTCTGGGTTCTTTTGTTTGTTTGTATTTTGAGTGTTAGAACGGTAACTCTGTGCCCATCATGCTATTTTTTTAATTTTAGCTTTATAATGACTGTATAATAATTTTTTTCCTTAAATTTCGAATTTTTGACATCTCAGTCGCTTCAGTTCACTTATTTGGGAAGTTGCATCAACCAACACCAGAGGGGTTGATCAATCGCTGATGAAATCTTAGCACAGGTACAGAAGGCTCGTTTCGCATATGCTAGTTTACGCCGTCTCTGGTGTAGATGTGATATCCAGCTGTTGATTGGCCAAAGGGAGTGTGTACTGCGCAGCAGCACTTCGCTCCGTCATCCTTTGTGGCTGCGAGTGAGATATGGTCATCGAAAGTGGGAAACATGAAAAGCCTGGCCAGCTGGCTGTCTTTGATCATAGGTGTCTGCGTTCTATCTCTCGTGTGTGTTAGGCGGTGGTGGTGGTTGTATAATAGGGTGATCAGTATTGAGGTTAGGCATCGGTGATTGAGTGCTAGGTAAGTATAGGTAAGGAGGGGTAATCAATCGACGAGGTGGTTGTCAAGTTACATGGATTGAGAGAGATGGTTAAGACATGTGTTACGCATACCACCGTGTAATGCTATCGATCTCCATCCTCGACTGACGGGCAATGTTAACTGACATAGAATCAGATCGGAAAAGAGCTAATGGTGGTCAAACCAAAACATGGCTTCATCAATCAATGAAATCCATAACAGTAAGTTTAAGTCACGTAGGAAGGTGCAGACTCCCTGGTTGGTGTTCTAAGGGCGGTAAAAACCGATGGTGGCTGGAAACAATTGGTGATATGGCTCAAAATCGTTCTCAATGGCTGTCGCAGATGCATCCACTCCTTATGACTCAAAATATCCAATAAAAATTTGTTGTTCTTCCATATTACTATTCTTTTTGCCTCATATCTCTGTTTTGGATCTCTTTTTACTCTCTTTACTTGCAAGTGGAACTTTTACGCACATCTGTGCATAGTTCTACGTTGGAACTAGTCAGTCAGTTCGTAGACAAAACTTTCAATAAAATTTCTTATTCATATCTTCTAGCAAAGTGAGGTGGGTAATTAAGTAAAATGATAAAAGACCTGACTCAGGATTTCTTCACGGATAGAGAGTGCTAAAGGTTGAAAAAAGTCGTATTATCATGGGAACCGGTAGAGAGTTGTATCGCACAATGTCAGTGCATGGTTTTAGGCTTCTATTCTCTACTTATTATGTATTACTGAAATGCTGCTGTGATGATATTAATTTTTATCGAAAGCTTTACACAGTGAAAGTAAGTGTCGCACGTTTTTTTGCATTAAGATTTAGATCTGTCAAATGAATGTTATTTTAGTTCATAGTGACTAGCAGTCGAGTGTTGGATGCTGCGCATTTCGTCCTTTCTGGGATTTGTCAACTGGATGTACCTGCATTCCCACTAAGACTGGCACCCCACTATCCTTCCCCACCCCCATCGTTTCAAACTCTAAAGCGTTATCCAACAGACGACTGAAGCATGAGAGTCATCTCTTGTGCAAGTGTGGGGTATCAGTTAATATTTGTGCTTAGATCAATGTGTATTTCTCTTTGATTGTGATTATGTTGGACTGAAATGTTCGATCTTAAAGACTGAACGCAATGTAAATAAATATATTACACTTTGGGCCAGGTTAAACTTTAAGCACCAGTAAGTGACCAATGGAGTGCGACTGCACTAGTGACCTTGAAACGCTCACTGAGCGAGTTAGTGAAACCTTGCAAATAAGATTACCGTCATGAATAAAATATGCTCAATGAAGTGTTATGTTATTAAATGGGGGATATCTGGTAAGTTTCAGGTTAAGTTTTAGAAAGATTAAGTTGAAGTTTAGGCTAAGGGCAGGTTAGGGTTAGATTAACGTAATAAGGACGATATTAGGGTTGGTTCGAGTTAGATTAGAGTTAGTTTAGGGATATTTTCACGTTAGGGTTAGGTTAAGGAAAGATTAGGATTATTTAATTGAATTGTCCCGTTGCACAAGGGACAGTCACACTCGTGGCCCAAGTGGTCTAGTGGACAACGCTTCGGCGTTTGAAACTGTGGGCACTGGGTTCAAGCCTCGGTGGGAACATCATCACTCACTGGGAGATGCAGGTATATCCAGTGACGAGTCCCAAATAGGACGAAATGCGCGTTATCCTGGATTACACCACTGCTAGTCACCATCCACAAATGAAAGATTACGATTATTGTTAAGGTTTGAAGACTTAGATAATTACATGCATAGAATGTAGTTAAATTACTCTGTTAATACTCCATTCCGAAACTAATAGGTTGTTTTGTCACACGTCAGAGAAAGGTATCCTGTGTAACAGTTTCATGCCTTTTAATTCATTATTTTCATAATTATATATGTATTTTATACACCAATATGGCCGTTATCATGTGATTGGTGCGTTCAAGGTCATTTGTCCACTGGTGGTATTTACTGGTGCTTAAAGTTTAACTTCGCCACACTGTGGAAATTAATACAAATTAGTGTGTAATTATGCTGCGTGTTCCTCCAAGACAATATGCACAACTATTCAATCAATGGTGTTGGTGGTAGAGCGGTTAGGACTCTCGCCAACCTTGCAGATGGTCCGGGGGTTCGATCCCCTGCCGACACACACCTGATATCAATGGTCGGCCTGCAAATTTGGGCTACCGATATCGCATACTGAAACTTCCATACTTGTACCAAAAATGCGGTGTGGAATCAAACTATAATCAAAAATTAAAATAAATACTATTTGGTGATATTAGATAGTTGGAGGCAATCGGCCACAGGAAGTCTTGAACTTAGGTTTCGTGCTAGTTGGCACTCACCAGTCAGCAAGGCGTATCTGCAACCGCCTTGAAGGAACTCGTATCCCTTATGAGATTCGAACCCACGTTACCCAGTGGGTACTGCAGTCAGGGATGTTACCACTGAGCAGCTATTCGGGCTCGCGATTAACCTCCTGTAGGACTGTAGTGTGTACTTTGATTGGACACTAGTAACTAGTGTGACGTGTCTAGTCCTTTCTTTGGTGCAGACTGAATTCTATCAGGCTTTACTATTTATCAACATTTATCGAGACAATAAGTATTTAGAAGTATTTGCATTCTATATAACTTGTAAATCTCAACTGTAGGGCTCTTTATTTGGCATTTTTAGGTTTTAACGGTGGCATGCCTTTGCCAGAGGATGATTGCCATACAATCCCACCAGCGTAAAGATTCTTATGTTTTGTGGATCAGTTGCACTTCAGTAGTCATAATATAAATTGGAACTAGTAAGACTTTATCATATTATACACAATACAGGCCATCGCTTCATTGCTTTATGTATATTCGCCATCATCGACTGACCTGCCAATCAATCAAATCCTTACAAACCAATACTAAAACCTATTCCTTTTCAATTAGATCCTCATCACCGGCTCTACACTAATATATAGTCGGTTTTTATATCAAAATGTCTTCTTACCAATCAAGTGGTTATTTTAGTTAATCAGTTTTAGGTATAGGCGGAGGTGAAATCAAGAGGTTAAAGGTCATCAAAAAACAAATAACGAATAGATCTTGATATTCAAGTGTTGGTTTGTTGGGATTTGATTGGTTGCAGGATTTTCATCATGAGCTGACATTAGTTAGAGAGCCATTGGAAATTTGGGACTCTTCATCAGTACGCACCCACCGGGATTCGAACCCAGGACCTTCTGGTTTACAAGGCGAGCTCGTATACCGTTAAGCCACTGGGACCTGATCCAATGGTCCATGAATTCTAACTTCTGCCAATTCACGACATAGCGCGACCCCTAGCCAATGTCTTCGGCGAGTATTTGTCTTGATCTTAATTTGCATTGAAGTAAGCTCTGAAGATGTAGTCGAAGTGGAGATAGTGAAGGCTTCGCAGCCATGTACCATTCAGGTCAAGGTACACAACCACACACTAATACAACACCCACCCATGCGATCTATAAATCTCAAGTATTTTAAAACGCCAAGCTTAGTGGATATCTTCGATTTTGAATAAAGCAAGAACAACAACAGTGGTGGTTTGTGCAGAATAATATGGTACCTTCATTGTTTATTTCATTGGCTTCTCATTAGCTCAGCTACTTGCTTACAGCCTAAATAAACTATGAGGTTTATGTACAGAAAAGTTTTAACATACTTGCACATTTCTCATGGTGTAAGTTGACAGAAGTTTCCACAAATAGTGAACAATGCTCAGAAAATTGCACTTATATAGTTTTTACACGGGCAGTTCAAGTTTAAACAAAATAAATGTATGCACACAGTGGTAAAGGAGTTACGTAGTTGAAAGACGAGATATGCGTAAGATGCAGATTGACTAATAAGTTAGGTAACAATGTACTGAGTTCAACTCAAATCATAGAAACAAGAGACAAACCAAATTACAAATTATAAAAAGGGGGGAGTGAGGTTAAAGACAAAGATTACGTAATCAAGTGAGAGAGAATAAAGACGTCCAGTTACCTTTGCACTGATATTTATTTTGTTTAAACTTGATCTGCCTGTGTAAAAACTATATAAGTGCAATTTTCTGAGCATTGTTCACTATTTGTGGAAACTTCTGTCAACTTACACCATGAGAAATGTGCAAGTATGTTAAAACTTTTCTGTACATAAACCTCATAATTTGTTTAGGCTGTAAGCAAGCAGCTGAGCTGATGAGAAGCCAACGAAATAAACAAAGGATGGTACCGTCTTGTATTCTGGAAAAACCACCACTGTTTTTGTTCTGGCTTTATTCAAAATCGAAGATATCCACTAAGCTCTTGGCGTTTTACAATACTTGAGAAGATTTATAGATCGCATGGGTGGGTGTTGTATTAGTGTGCCTTAACCTGAATGGTACACATGGCTGCGAAGCCTTCATTATCTCCACTTTCCCTTGAACTGAATGAATAAAAGGTATGAATTACTTAGTCAACCATTTTGCTGTTAATCAATATATGTGTAAAACTTGGGCAATGTGGTAGTAAGTAATTCCATATTAGTTTGTTTATTAGATGTATCACACAGTGAGTGAAACAGTATTTGTATTTACTGGATGACGTTTCAAACAAAATTTACTGTTCATAATCATATGAATTGATATAATTATGAACAATAAATTTTGTTCGAAACGTCATCCAGTAAATAATACTGTTTCACTGTGTGATATATCTAATAAACAAACTAATATGGAATTGCTCTTAATCAACCATAGCGTAAATGTTTTTGGTGATATATTTATATACTACTGATTACCTAATTTGAGTAATAGAGTACCATTCAAATGAAGCAGTAGTTTTTTTCTAACTGTCGGGTGTTTAGATCACTTCAGTCTAGTTAATATGCACTACACTGGTTGATGTGACTGGTATTCAACTAGTCATACGAACCAATG